TGGAGTTATGCCTCCCCACCCCAAGCTGAGGTTATGCCCTCACCAGCAGACTGAAAGTCCTCTGAGGAAATGGCCCGAGCACAACCAGTGTCTTCACCTGCTCCCCTGCGATCACAGTAAGCCGTGGCCTTAAGGAGCCACATTTTACGTAAATCACCCTGGGGCCCAGCTCCACAAAACTCCATTAGACTTGGGGACCTGGACAACTAGACTGACACTCAGTCCTTTCCCGGGTACTCTGTAACCCGTGCCTGGGCCAGGTCAGGACCTCGTGCAACCTGCAAAGCTGAGGTCAGCACAGAGTGAGACCTGAGCCCAGCAGGGTCAGGTCAGCATTTTGCCCTGCTCCCACCGCCCCTTTCCCTACCCTCTGGATGCGCATGCTTGGCAGCGATGCAGAGCGGCGCGCGCTCGGGGCCGCGCTCAGCACCACGGACAGCGGTGGCGGGGGAGGGGCGGGGCGGGCGGCGTAGCCGGGCCCCTCCCCGCGCCCAGGGCGGGTCCCCCGCCGCCCTAGAGCCTCCGTCGCCACCTCCTCGGGCTCGGCGTTTGGTGCTCTTCTGGTGCTCTCGCCTCAGGTGTTGCTGAGGAAGCAGAGCTGGAACCCGAGCTGGCGGCTCCGGGGGAAGATGCTGAGCCGCAGGCGGGGCCGTCGGCACGCGGCTCCCCGAGCCCTGCTGCTCCCGGGCCCTCCACCGGCCCGCTGCCTCGCATGGACCTGCCGCCCGCCGGACAGCCCTTGCGCCATCCGACCCGGGCCCGGCCGAGGCCACGCCGCCAGCACCACCACCGCCCACCGCCTGGGGGCCCCCAGGTGAGAGCCCTCCCCCCATGCCGGAGCTCGTGGACTGGGGGGTCGTGGGTGGTCGAGTCGCTCTGCACGGTGATGGCGGGCAGAGAGGCTAGTTGTAGGGGTCCAAGGCCATTTGGTCATGCGGCCGAGTCTTGGCTTCGTCCTGCATCCCAGGCCATGTCTGTGTGGGGCCACTGGTATGCAGGTTTCGGGACGGGGGGCCCTGGGTGGAGAACTCCTCCTCAGAGTGGCCCTCTGCATGAGTGGATGTGCGAGGGTGTCTGTCTTGCCCTCCTTCTCCCAGGGCCTTGGGGACACCCATGCGTCTGCTATGTCCAGCGGGTGTATGCGTGGAGAGATGTGTGTGGGCTGCGAACTGGTGGGGGCTGTGGGCACTGGCGGAAGTCGAGGAAGAGCCGGCTAGAGGCCCCGAGGGTCTGACGCAGCAGCCGGCATCAGGCCGGGAGGGGTGGGGGTGGGGGTGAGGGTACTGCAGGGAACTGCTGGGAGCAGAGGGATTGGCAGGTGGAATGTGTGACCTGGGGACACATGGGTGCTGGAGCCTGCTGGTGGGCCAGGTGCTTCAGTTCACTCGTGGAACAGGAAGGAGTGTGGTCTGGCTGTGTATGCCAGGGCAGCGATGCGAGGGAGTGTGTGAAGCCCAGCACCTCTGCCCAGCCCTGGACAGCGGGAGGCTGGTATCAGCAGCTCCTTAGTGCTACCCCAGCTCTGGGATCCTGTTGTTGCAACAGCAGGCTGCCAGACAGGGGAGCAGGGAGAAGCCAGTTACACTGAACCCTGACCCCTGACCTCATGGTATTGCTCAGGTTCCCCCAGCCCTGCCGCAGGAAGGGAATGGGCTCAGTGCCCGCGTGGACGAGGGCGTGGAGGAATTCTTCTCCAAAAGGCTGATCCAGCAGGATCGCCTGTGAGTGAGGGGCAGATGCCTGGGGTGGGAGAGGGTGGGATGCCCATGGGCTTCCTCACTCACTGCTGGTTGTCCCTACAGTTGGGCCCCAGAGGAGGAACCCGTCACAGAAGGGGGTGCCACTCCTGTTCCCCGTACACTTCGAAAAAAGTTGGGCACCCTCTTTGCCTTTAAGAAGCCTCGCTCAACTCGGGGTCCTCGGCCTGATCTAGAGACCAGCCTTGGTGCAGCTGCCCGCACCCGGAAAACGACACTTGGGGACTTGCTTCGGCCTCCAGCCCGTTCTAGCCGAGTTGAGGAGCCTGGCGGGGCTGAGGGGGGCCCTAGCAGCCCTGACCCTGCCCGTAGAAGCAGGCCTCGGTACACACGGGAAAGCAAGGCCTACTCAATGATACTGCTGCCGGCTGAGGAGGAGGAGACACTGAATGCTAGACCCGATAAGGTGAGGGCTGATGCGGGATGAGGATTCTTTTGGAACCCATGGAAGGGGCTCTCTCTTGACTGGGCCCTGTCTGTCTCCAGCGGCGGCCCTTGGAACGGGGAGACACAGAGCTGGCCCCCTCCTTCGAACAGCGGGTACAAGTTATGCTACAGAGGATCGGTGTGAGCCGGGGAAGTGGGGGTGCCGAGGGCAAGAGGAAACAAGTGAGTTTGGGGGTCAAGTGTAACGTGAGGGGGCAGGTATCATGTGGCAATCTGTTGGTGACACAGATGACATGTGAAAGATTCATACTACACACAGATCTAATTGTCAGTTCAACTCCCTTCCCCCTCTATATAGTCATGGGATTTCTCTTTCTTTCCTCTTGACTTCTGCCATTGACACATCCATCTAGGACATGAAGTCCTTTTTCTGCAGATCCAACAGAAATCTGACCTTGTCACTCACTTGTACTTAAAAAGTACAGGGGCTCAAAGCTGCTCACACTTCCAATCCTGCTGCTACAAGGTTCAGTGGGACCTTGGTTCTGACCACTTTCTGCTCTCCTCTCTGGAGGTATCTCAGCCCCTCGTGTCCCATGCTGGACCCTCCCTGCAATTATGCCAGGTTCCTCCTCACCCATCTCAGCAGTTCCCGGTGGGCCTTCAGATCCTCTTCTGAGGCCATCCTGCTCATGGCATTCCCTGATCCTAGTCCCCATTAAGAATCATGCCCCATGTACCATCTACTTAATAGCTTTTCAGAAAGTACACATGTGAGCCCTGCCTGCATTTAGAAACATGAAAGTGTGGAAAATATGTCATAGAACACCATGTATTTGTGAATGTGCACGCATGTGTCTGTGTACCAACTGCCATCCCAGACTGTGAGCACTCAGGGGGCTGGGATTGGGTTTGCCATGTTCTTGCCCAGCTCACAGAGGGCGTTCTGTGACTGGGCTGTAAGAACAAGAACAAACCAAAGGATAGGGTGAGGGCGGTGGGGCTGAGGTTTGACAGCCTTGTTTCCCACAGAGCAAAGATGGTGAAATCAAGAAAGCTGGCTCAGATGGTAAGTGGGACCCTGGGGTAAGGCAGTGTATGTAGGGGGTGTCCTTACAGATGGTCCTTGATGCACTTGCTTTCCTGGGGGAGGGGGAAAGGCCAGGTTTTCCTAACTCTTACCCCTAAGATCTGGTGCCTGAGTCCTCAGCCCCATCTTACAGGTGACATTATGGACAGCTCCACGGAGACCCCACCCATCTCAATCAAGTCCCGAACTCACTCTGTGTCTGCTGGTGAGTGAGGTCACTGTGTGTTAGGAGAGATACAGAGATAGACAACAGCAGGTCAGTGGGCATGGTGGTGCATGGCTGTAGCCCCTGGATTTGGGAGGCTGAGGCAGGAGGATCATTTCAAGTTCAAAGTCACCTTGGGCTACCCAGTGCCTTCAAGGCTAACTGGAATACATAGTAAAAACCATTTTTTTTTTGGTGGGGGTGGGGTGGCCCACACAATTCTGGGGATTGAACTCATGACCTTGTACTTTCTAGGCAGGCACTTGTGCCACTGAGCTAAACCCCCATCCCATAAGACCATCTTTAAAGAAAGGGGGGGCGGGGCTGGGGATTTAGCTCAGTGGCATAAGCGCTTGCAAGCAGGCAGTTGTGAGTTCGATCCCTGGTACCGATAAAAATGAAAAAGACAAAAAAAAAAAAAAAAAAAAAAATCAAAAAACAAAAAAAGTGAGTCAGACCATTGCTATCCCCAAGGCCTGGTCCAGGTCTCTGCTGATACTCTTCTCCCTGCAGACCCCTCATGTAGACCTGGCCCAGGGGTCCAGGAGCCTGAGTCTGCTACCTGGAAGACACTGGGACAACAGTTGAATGCAGAGCTGAGAGGCCGTGGTTGGGGCCAACAGGATGGTCCAGGCCCACCCTCACCTTGTCCTAGCCCAAACCTCCGCAGAGCCACTCCTGCCCCAGACATCCTGGGCCTTCCAGAGGACCCTTGTTTGGGCCCTAGGAATGAAGGTAAGCAAGCATTCCATGCCCCCATCCCAACCTTGGGCTGAGGACTGGCACAGTCCCTGCTGGGAACTTGCCCCCCTAGGGACATGAAGATGGGACTTAAGGGCTGGAGTGGGGGTAATGTTGGGAGCAAACCCTGATACCCTGGCCTCCTCCAGATGGCCAGCTGAGGCCGAGGCCTTTCTCGGCAGGGCGACGAGCAGTGTCTGTGCATGAGGACCAGCTCCAGGCCCCTGCTGGTGAGGGAGACACCTCTGTGTGTGCTTGAGTGCAGGAGCTGGGGGAGGGTGGGCTCCTGGGCTTCCACTGTGGTTCTGGTCTATGGAGGGGGCCACCAGTGCTGTGAGGGCTGCAGAAATGAGCCAGAAGGCCACGAGCAAAAGGTCTAACCCTTTCCCTGGCTCCACCTCCCAAAAAGCCACTTCTGCCAGGGTAGAGGTAGCAGGGGAAAGGGAAGCTGAGGGCAATAGTGTGCACTCTTGCATGCACTGGAGGTGAGGAGAAGGGTGGGAAACGGACAGACTGGAAGCCTTTCTGTGCCTCTTAGAACGGCCCCTGCGGCTACAGCGCTCCCCAGTCCTCAAACGTAGACCGAAGCTCGAGGCACCACCGTCCCCAAGCCTAGGTAAGAGGCGGATGTGGCCAGTTGGGAGGGTGGCAGGACTGCTTAGCACAGCCCTCAGCCTTTCTCCCTCTCCCTCACAGGATCTGGCCTTGGAACCGAGCCTCTGCCCCCACGGCCCACAGAGCCCACCAGCCCCGAGCAGAGCCCACCCTCCCCAGCCACAGACCAAAGAGGCGGCGGCCCCAACCCCTGATCCTTCTCTCCTGCCGCATGAGATTATTTTATTAAAAAACTTGAAGAAAGCAGCATGTGGAGGAGCATTGTTTGTTCTCAGCTGGACCTGTGTGTGCACATCCTCCAATATGCCCGCATGATCCTTCATACCTGAGCTGGCTCAGCCTGTGGCTTTGGCTCCATCAGAAGGTGCAAAGCCCAGGCCACGAGCTCAGGGGGCAACCTGGGAAGAAACCATTTGTTTCACATCAAGGTGGCCTGGGACTGGTGACAAGAGAGTAGGAGTAGTGCTGGGTACTCACCTGGCAGCTTGGACTTGAGCACAGAGGGAGGCACAAGGTGGCTCATATTCATATTGGAAGGCAGAACCATCTCGATGCCTTGTTGGGGGATCCTGAAAAGGGTGTGATGTCTGGGGAGTGGCCAACAAGGAGCTCTAACTCCATCCAAGGCTATCCCCCTTCTCTTCCAGCTCTAGTCAAGGTCCTCCCAACTGTCCTCTCTGGTTATAGAAGAAATGCTCACCCAGACAGCACAGGGCTCCTGGTCTCTCTTGGTTCTGGTCTCTGGAGAACACTGCTGCTTGTTAGGGGTCGATCCTTGCTCCTTGAACTCCAGATTAAGCTTCTGGGGCTTAGTATTATGAGCCTGATGTGGACTGGGGACCTGGCCAAGGGATGGCGGACTGGGGGTGCAGCTCAGATATGGGGAGTCAGGTGTATTACTACGGTGTGGGGAAATGGGGAGCACAGGCCCAGGGGCTGAGCAGATGGTTGGTGAGGGCTGGGAGCTATCCCTATGCACTGGGTCTGGAGTAGCCAAAGGTGAGGCAGGCAGAAGGCTGATACTGGCACTATCTTCCGATGGCTCATGCCCAGGTAAGGAAGGGGCTCCTGAGAAAGAGGGGATACATTGTGAGCACAGCCCTTTTGGCTCGGAGCAACTGTAAGATCTGTGTTCACCCCACCTACTGCATCCCATTTCACAGCAATCCTACATTGGCTGGGAGGTCAACTGACCATAGTGTTTCTAGCCTGAGCACTACCTCCTCTGAGCAACTGGATATGAGAGGTCAGGTGATCATGGTCAAGATGAGTCCTACTGAGCCCACTGTGCTGGGATCAGCTCACAGTCTGGGGTTTCTAGTGTGGTTCATCAGCACTGTGGGTCCTGGGTCCCAGGAACTCCCTTTTTGAACTCTAGTTCTCCTTACCCTGTGTCCTCTGACTTGAGCTCAGAGAGTTCAGAATTTGCTGGTCATTCTCAGAGACGTGCAGCAATAAACTGGGAACAGTATACAGGGCTTCTTCCTATAGGATATGAACTCTTAGCCTGGCCCTTGCCCAACGCCTCACTCAGACACGTTCCAAGGGAAGACCCATACTGACCGTGGCCCTGCAACGAGAGGCAGCCCAGCCGGTGAGTGGAGGTGCTGTGCAAGGGCCTGCCAGTATTAGGCAGCTCTCAGCCAGGTGAACCAGTGCCCTCCGATGCTCCTGGTCCTCCTGTACCTCATCCAGAAGCTGGGTCAGTGTTAGGCCTGGGGCAGGGGACCATACAATGGACTGAAGCTCAAAGAGAAAGAACAGGACATGTAGGGGCTGGGGATTTAGCTCAGCGGCATAAGCACCTGCCTTGCAAGCAGGCAGTCGTGAGTTCAATCCCTGGTACTGATAAAAATGAAAAAAAACAAAACAAAACCAAAAAAAAAAAAAAAAAAAAAGGACATGCAGAGTACTTACTTAGGAAGCATGAGGTAATGGCAGGAAAAGTTACTCCACAGGGAGTTTGGTAGGGTCGCTGGACAACACCTATCAGTACCTGTGTTGGAAGAGTTGGACTCTGAAAGGTGGTCCCTACAGAAACAGAGTAGACAGGCTTCAGGAACAATCATGGGGCCTGTGTACCTAGATCTTTTTTTTTTTTTTCCTTTTAATTTTATTTAAGCAGAAAAAGAAAAAAAAAAAAACAGAAAAAGGGTACAATACAAAATTTAAAAAATAAACAGTAAGAAATCACTAGTTAATAGATTACATATTCTCATCTTAGAAATAGTTGTTCAAGTTACAGAATTAAAGCATATAAAGTGGACTTTCAAACAGTGAGACTGCAAACAGTTTTGTTCAATGATCCAACAAAACTCAGTCTACAGTCCTCTGCTCTACCAGCTGAGCTATCGAAGGAAGCGCGTCTACCTAGATCTTCCACCCTTCAAACAGACCTCACTTGGCCCCAGATCCCAAGCCCAGACTTACTCAAGGCAGTCATAGAGCTTTCTCTGCACATCTAGGTCCTGGTTGCTAGGGAAGACAGAAGGATGATCGGCAGCATAACCAGAGACCCAAGCCCTCCCACTCAAAGGCCTATGCTACCACCAGCTAAGCCTCCTGCTGGGTGGTAGAGCAGGTAGAAGGTGGAAGTATGTCCCCTACACCCCGTGCTAGGGATTGAAGCCTATGTCTCCATGTGTCAAGTGCTCTGCCACTAAGCTAAATCTAAAGCCTTCGGACACATAACTTACCAACCAGTCACCGGTACCCGGGGCTGCTCCGTGGGCAGCAGGTTGAATCGGTCCACCTGGAGGTAGAACTCTGCAGGCTGCAGAAATTGGAGGAGGGCAGGACTCAACAACTGTGCTGATGACCTAGGCCCAGTAATCTGCCTATATCAGCCTCGGTACTCACCGAGCCACGATCAGCAATCTGGATGCGGACCTCACAGACCTGCAGTAGAAGTAGCCGGCCCTCGGCCCCAGTGAATCCGAACTCCTTCTCCTCCCTGCAGGACATAGGCCCCGCCCACCTTGAGCTCAAACACGCCTTCGCCCTCTTCCTAGCCCTCTCCAGCTGTGCCTGCCTCCCCGAGCCCAGCGGTGTCTCTCACCAGTCTGAGGTGTTCAGGGCTTCTTGCGTCACCAGGCATCGGATACTGTGGGTCCCGTCGGACACAAGCAGCATAGCTCCGCCGTCAAGGATGTCAGACGCGTGGGATGGACCCGCGGTCACCACGTCCTGCAACACCTGACCACGGTGACTGGCGTCAATCTCAGATTGGGCCCCCGGTCGGGTCTCTGAACCACGAATGGGGAGTTACCTTAAGGAGCTGCCCAGCTTGTGGACTTGAGAGTTCTTCTGATCGCAGGATCAACTCTCGAATCCAAGGCCGTAACACCAGAGTCCCCATATCTGCTATTTCCGCCACGGCACCTAGCGGAGAGCAGCTGATGGAGGTTTCCCGCCCGCGCAGCGCCCCGCCTCTTGTCGGAAGAGGAAGCGCGTGACGTTCGGGCGGAAGCCGAAACCCAGGCCCCGCCCCGTGCTCGCTGCGCGTGCGCATCAGGGCGTCGTGGTCGCAAACTTACGCGCGTTGGGTTAGTTGCTGGTCCAGTTATTCTTACCCGGACATCCCTTCGAAGAGTACTCTGGCGCTTGGGCCGTTCAAGACTCCTGTGGCTTCAGGAAGGAGCCAAGGGCATTCTCGGATCTGGAGAGGGACCCAGGGCCGAGACTACTGCTGAAGGTGGTCCGAGTGAGTTGGCTCAAAGCCATGCCGTGTGAACCCGAGGGACTCAGCAGACATTTATTATGACTCTGCTTTTTCATCTATAAGATACAGCCTTGTAAAGCCGGGAGAAGTAACAGACAACGCTCAGTAAATGTTATTTCCTGCATTCGCCCCTTGCATTGACAGAGCCCCTCCTTCCTCAGATTCCCCAGACGCACGAATCGTAGCGTAATGACGTAAGAGCAGAGGAGCACTTTTCCCACCCCCATCTCTGTTTCCTAGGGAACGCGGGATCAGCATTGCTCACTGTCGCTGCCCCCTTGACGTCAAGGTCCGGATGGGAGGGCGGGGCGATTGCTACCGCCAGGGGCGGGGAGGCACGGGCGGGCCGGCTGGGCAGTGCACCTGCACCTCGGCGGGCTGCTTGGGGCAGCGTCCCCGGTCTGCCCGGCCCCGCCATGGCCAGGCCGCAGAGGACTCCGGGGCGCAGTCCTGACAGCATCGTCGAGGTGAAGAGCAAAGTAAGGGCTCCTCTGGCTCCCGCTCCGGCGCCGGCCCTAGACGCTTCCAATTCCCTCTTTCTCCCTTCTGGGCTCCTTAGTCCTTTTCACCTTTTTGTCTTCCATCCTCCACGTCTCATTCTGCCTGCCAGCCCCCATCCATCTACCTTCTGCTGCTGGCCTGCAAAGTCCCTCTGTGGCTGGGGTACATGGAGGGCACGGGATTGGGGGGGGGGATTTGACAGCCACCCCTGTACTGGAGCTGTTTGGTTGAAGACTGCAGCTTTTTCAGCAGCTCGTTCTTTCCCACCCCGGACAGCTCAGAACTATGGTAAGAAGCGGGCGCGGGCTCTGTCCTGACCCTTTCTCTCTCCAGTTTGACGCCGAGTTCCGACGCTTCGCACTGCCCCGTGCTTCAGTGAGTGGCTTCCAGGAGTTCTCACGGTTGCTGCGTGCTGTGCACCAAATCCCTGGCCTGGATGTGCTGCTTGGTTACACAGATGCGCACGGCGACCTGCTGCCCCTCACTAATGATGACAGCCTGCACAGGGCTCTGGCCAGCGGGCCCCCACCACTGCGCCTGCTGGTGCAGAAGCGGGGTGAGGATGGCTTATCATGGGATAGGGTGACAGGGCAGATCTACAAGAGTTAGTCCATAAAAGACACCCAGGTTTCATGCTCTGCAGTACCTGCCCTTCACTTGACCTCCAGGTGGTAGAAAATAGCGACATTGGGCACTATAAAGGGCCCAAGTGGGAAAGCAATCACTGATCTCAACACCTTCTTTCCCTGCAGCAGAAGCTGATGCCACTGGCCTGGCTTTTGCCTCCAACTCTCTGCAACGGCGCAAGAAGGGGCTCTTGCTTCGACCAGTTGCACCACTGCGTACCCGGCCACCACTGCTAATCAGCCTGCCTCAAGATTTTCGGCAGGTTTCCTCAGTAATAGATGTGGACCTACTACCTGAGACCCACCGACGGGTTCGGCTGCACAAGCATGGTTCAGACCGCCCCCTGGGCTTCTACATCCGAGATGGCATGAGTGTCCGTGTGGCCCCCCAGGGCCTGGAGCGGGTTCCAGGCATCTTCATTTCCCGCCTGGTACGTGGGGGCCTGGCTGAGAGTACAGGGCTGCTAGCAGTCAGTGATGAGATCCTAGAGGTCAATGGCATTGAGGTGGCTGGAAAGACCTTGGACCAAGTGACAGACATGATGGTTGCCAACAGCCATAACCTCATTGTCACTGTCAAGCCTGCCAACCAGCGCAATAATGTGGTGCGAGGGGCATCTGGGCGTCTGACAGGGCCTTCCTCTACAGGACCTGGTCCTACTGAACCTGATAGTGACGATGACAGCAGTGACCTGGTCCTTGAGAACCACCAGACACCCTGTTCCAATGGGCTGTCTCAGGGGTCCCCATGCTGGGATCTGCATCCTGGCTGCCTACTTCCTGGTGCCCGAAGCTCTCTGCCCTCCCTGGATAGTCAAGAACAGGCCAGCTCTGACTGGGGGAGTAGCATACAAGGAGATGGTAGTGGCTTCAGCCTCTGACAGGCAAGGATGCAGCCCCTTGTCACTTGAGGCTGCTGGAACATGGCATGGACTGCACACTGGGAGGTTAGCTTGCTCACAGGGCTGTCTTAGCCTGGGCAACATTAAAGATTTTCTACAATTATCAACATGGTCCTTCTGTGTCACAGCCCCAGCCTCTTCCTTGATCCTCCAAGCCTGCCTCTGTCCTGGACAGTGGGGAAACCTGTTAAGTTAAGCAATAGGATGGTCACCAGGCTTGGCTTTGTAGAGTAAGAAAATCTCTTATGGATGACCGGCGCAGCCCCCCAGTGAGACAGAGGACGCTCTTGTGGGTAACAGGAACTGCCGCTTTATTTATGCGGGCTCTGGTTTATATATTTGGCCGTGACCAATCACAGGCTGCCACGAGGAAGCAGGGCGGGAATGGGACGCAGGCTCTGGCTAATATATCCAGCTGTGGCCAATCAGGGGTTGCCACAGAGTCAGCACGGGGCGAATACGGAGTGAGCAGGAGGTGCGCACGGGGTGGCTAGTTTAGAGAGGGAGGTAACGCCTTGCGGAAGCTGACGTGGTCTTATCATCCCGGGCAGGGTGTGTTGAGGGCCTGCGCCCGACATATGGAAACAAATGCCAGTCTGTACAAAAACTTTAATTTTGACAAAGGATTAAAAGATTGGGATGGTTCTGTGGTGACTGGGCACTGGTGACTGGGAAGTATTCTCTGGGGATACTGTGTACCCCACTGCTGCTGTCTTCATACCTTTGCTCTGTGATCGGGCCTGACCCTGCTCTTTGCAGCTGTGTGGCAGTCCTCAGCATGGAACTCCCTGCCCAGCCCTTACAAAGGGGCTCAGGCATCCATCTTTACAAACACTTTGGGTCTGGAAAAGATCTTGATGGCTTCTTCCACCTGCACCAGCTTCCGGTCCAGCTCAGCACGGTGGCCCTGGGCTCTCAGTGAATCTGCTCCAGCAGGCAGTAGTACCAGCTCACGCAGCAGCTGGGTCTGGGCTGCAGGTTCCCAGGAAGTGAGTGCTGGGCAGGGATGCATGGTCCCCAGGTAACCCCCCCATCCATCCCCTCTTGCTCGGGTACTCACTCTGCAGCAGATTGTTCAGTGTCTCTAGGCGCTGCTTCTCAGGCATGCGAGTGTGGCCCGGGGGCATGGTAGGGTCTGGCTGGCTCTGCTGCCGGGCCTCAGCCTCCCGCCGCCATAGATCTTTGCGTTCCAACAAACTACAGAGGTACAGGTCCAAGGTTGATAACATTGGGTGGAGATTGGCTCCCAACCCCTACAGGTACCCCTCCCCTGGGTCTTAGGCACTGAGACCTACTAATGGGGAACATGGCCCTTCTGCGTTGTGTTGTAGTGTTCCTGGGCTTCCCGCTGCCGCTCGAGCACCTGGGCCAGGATCTGCAGTGAGCGGGAATGGCGCCGGGGGGCCCTCTTGGCAGCTTGGGCATTGTGACTAATGAAGTCCACACCCAGGCATGGCCCCTGCAGGACATGGCAAGCATGGAGGAGGGCCAATAGTGCTGTGCTGTACCTCTGCACCCCTTTTACCCTTTCCCATCCTGCTCCTGGCCCCCACATTCCCTCACCTTGGCTTTAGGACTTGATGGTGTAAGCTGGGGACTGGGGCCACGGGGTGGTGGGAGCCCAGGGCCACAGCGGGAGTGTGCCCGCAGGAAGTGGGCAGACTTTGTCATAGAGGCAGGGCCAGGCTCCTGGAAGGCAGGGCAAAGTAGAGGAGTCAGTCAGGCTAAGATCAGGGTCTTAAGTCACAAGACTATAGGACTGGGGATGTAGCTCAGTGGTAGAGTGCTTGCCCAGCACGCATAAGGGAGTTCAATCCCTGGCACCACCACCAAAACAAAACAAAACACAACAATGTCTCTGTCCTTCCTGCTTCTCTATCGACTTCCTCCCTTCTGAAGGAATTTATCTGCCCATCAGCATTTAAACATGTGTGAATTCCTCACAGCTTTTTTTCAGTAAGGAATGTCAAACCCAGGTCCAGCATATGATAGACAAGCTCTCCACCACTGAACTACATCCCTAACCCCTTTTACATCTTTAAGAGATCAACAAACCACCTCTCTTTCTATCTCAATCCTGGTCCAGCTACTATTCTTTTCCTTCTTAGCCAAATCCCAACTTCTGAATCCCTAGAGTCACTGGCGCTGCATGTAAAGCCCTCAAATGCAGGTTGCCACTTCCTTGGTTTCATTGTTCTCAACCTGCTCATCAATAACTGCTAGGTCTCGTGCCAGGCTTGAGTATCCATCTGCCTCTTGGACACACGCCCACCCCCTGGGAGTCCCATAGATGCTTCAGCCTCAATACATCCTCATGTGACCTTGTCTTTTTTCTCAATTCTGTTCTTCCCTCTGAGTCCTTGGATAGAGCAAGGGTGTCTATGCAAGACAAAATGGCACCACCATACACTTGCCCTCCCTGCCGTGATCAGAAATATGTATTGAAGAGCCAGGGGTGGGCTGGGGATTTAGCTCAGCGGCATAAGCGTCTGCCTTGCAAGCAGGCAGTCGTGAGTTCGATCCCTGGTACCGACAAAAACGAAAAAGACAAAAAAAAAAAAAAAAGAGCCAGGGGTCATCTCAGTGGTAGAGCACATGCTTAGCGTGCATGAGGTCCCAGGTTCAATCATCAACATCCAAAAAAAAGAAAAGAAAAGAAATGTTGACTGTTGACAAGTGTCATGTGGGTCCAGCTCCTTGCCTGATCCCAATGCCCATACTTCTGGTCTTGAGCTTCTCTACCTCTAACATTCTATCCTACTCTCCAGTCAGCTAATTCCTACTTGCTCCCAGGGTCAATCCAGCCATGATTGCTTCTAAGAAGATACCTCTACAGTCCCTCTTAGTCTTTTGTTATCTTAGTCCCCTATGATTTCCTCTTTCCCATAATAGAGCAGAACAGAAAAGCCTAGTGGATAAGAGGAACAATATTTCTGGTTCTCTGAGACAGATACCTGCAGCTGGGCCTTGACTCGGGACTCCACCTTGTCATACTTGGGCGAGCGCCACAGTGCCTTCAGTGGCCTGGGTTGGCCTTGCTCCCGGCTGTGCTCCTGCTCTCTGAAGCGCCTCTGGATCTCCCTGATCCGTCTCAGGTTTTCTTTTTCGTGGTCTTTTGGGTCCTTCCCTGTGGAAAAGATGCTGCCAGTCTGTGCCCTACATGTGGCCCTTGAAGCCCAACATACATCAGACCATACAGAAACCCACACCTATGCCCTGCAGAAGGAATCCCTGACCTCTCCATCTAAGTTAGGCCCAACATAAATATTCTATTTATATCCCATCTTTTTTGTTTTGTTTTTTAATTTTCAGCTGGGTTCTTGTTAAGTTGCCCAGCCTGGGCTCAGATTCCCAGAAAATATCTCCTGGTTATTTTCTACATTTTTATAGTGGAGGATCCATTAATCATATATTCCCTTCATTTGTTTATGACCTCTCACATGACTTGATGGTGGCCTATGCTTGTCTTTTTTTTTTTTTTTTTTTTTTTTTTTGTCTTTTTTGAGACGGGGTCTTGCTATGCAGTTCAGGCTGGCCTTGAGTTCACTTTGTAGCCCAGGCTGGTCTCGAACTCACAACAATCCTCCCACCTCAGTCTCCCCAGTGCTTGGATTTCAGGCGTGAGCCACCATGCTGGGCTCCTCCTGTGCTTGTCTTTAACATTGTTCTTAGCATCCACAGGGCCTAGCGTACAGTAGGTACTCAATAAACATTTCACTGATGCATGGATGCATGAGGAATGCTACAGCTTCATGTGTACTACCTGATCCAGTGCACTCTTTCAGGGAGGGAGTGAATTCCCTCTCTTATATGGGGAATAGACCCAGAGGGCCAATGCCTGAGTCTGGTCAGAAAAGAGCAGGTATGTTTGTTTGTTTTGTTTTTGTTTTTTTAACACTAAGACCTCATCATGTTGCTCAGGTTAGGCTCATGACTTAAGTGATCTTCCTGCTTCAGACATGCACCAGTTATTACATCCAACTTGATCTCAGTTTGGTTTTGGATAGGATCTCCATATGCAGTTCAGCATAGCTTTGAACTTACTATGTACCCCATGCTGGCCTCAAACTCCTGCCTCAGCCTCCTGAGTGGTAGGATCACAGGTATGCACCACCAACATGGTTTTTATCTATTTTTGATATCTGACTGCCTCACTGGCCCTCTGACTGGGACTTACTCTTGGGAGGGGCCCCTGAACCAAGGGAGATGCCCTCTAGTTGCAGCAGCACGTCCCCCGCGCCGCTCCGCCTACGCTCCACGAGGTCTCCGGCTCCCGGCCTCACGTGTGGGCCACGCAGAGGTGTGACGTCGAGGTCTCGATCCCAGGTCAGTAGGTCCAGCTTCAGCGCATTTCCCTCAAGGCGCCCCAGGGCTGAGAAGCGGGGCAGGAGGAATGTAGGGTGTAGGGCTTAGTGGTGAAGCAGCTGCCTCACCGCGCTGCGGTACCCACCAACTCACCCGAGGCTGGCCGCCGGTAGTAGTCAGGGCATAGCGTGGGATCTGGAGGGATGGGCCCAGAGATGCGGGACGGACCCTCGCACATGTCTACGTCGCTGCCCTGCAATGGTTCACTTACGGTGCTGTGCATCTCCCGCCCAGTCCCTTCCCTAGCCCATGCCCCCTCTCTAGACGAACTCTTCAACCATGCGGTCCCCTTCATTACCTGGCTTCTCCTCGTCTCCCCGCACTGACCCCCCCCCCCGCCCCGGGGTCTGGGCCGAGTTCTCCGCCCCCGTGATCGCGACCTGGATCCTAGCCCATTTCTCTTCGGGTCCGCAACTGCTCTCCCCCAACACCCAGCAGGGACTCATTAGAGTCGTTTTACCCTCAGCTGCTTCAGCTCCAAAAGTTTCTGTTGCCAGGCAACAAACAGCTTCCGTTCCTGAGGTCAGGGGTCAATGACCGTGGCGAAAAGGCTTCTGGGACCTGTAGTTCCAGCGAAGTTTGGTAGCGGGGCCATTGGTGTCCCCTGTTTACCCCTTGTCTCCCTTCTGGTCTCCCTCATCAGCGAAGTGTTCCCTGGTCTTGTTATTCGGGGCCCGGCCTCCCCCAGGCAACAGTCGAAGATTCGCCGACCCTGTGTAGCCATGGCCTCTAAAGAGGCCAAGTGTCCGGTGGCCCGTGAGGGGACGGCCTTAGGGCAGGCTTGTGTCACACAGGTGCGTGGTGCCCATGCTCAGAGCCCAGAGGTGACTGACGGCCAGGCTGACTAGTCATCAAATCTTTGGTCACCAAACGCTAGGGGCCGAATTCTGAGTGACCCCACACCCTAACTGCCAGGCCAGACCCCACAGGCAGGCAGGGGCCTGGGCTGAGGTCCTTTATCCCATATTTGATAGCTAATGTTGTCTGTCGAATGATTGACCCCTACATCCTTCATCTCGTCATGGTATGACTAATTACCTATGTGTCACCTCTAGTGTCCAGTGTCAGATCAGTGCCTGCTCCCAGTGCAAGAGACTCGCAGGATGCAGGATGAAGACAAGTTTCTGACACGACACTGCTCAGCGTCAGAGCACCAAGAAGAGGGGCTCAAGCATGAGGAGACAGGACTAGAAGCAGAGGCAGAGGCAGAGGCAGGCGAAGAGAAGGGCCCCAGGCCTGTGGGCTATATTGAGAGGCCCAGTCACGGGCTGAAGAAACAGCCAGTCAAGTGAGGGGGGTTTCAGAGGGAAGGAGCAAAAGGGCTGGGGGATGGGCCCCATACTCCAGAAAGAGTCTAAATCCTACATTCCTCCAGAGAAGACTCTCATCCCCCTGCAAATACCATCACTGTCCCCTCCTTGTGGTTCAAGACCCCTGGTGTAGAGACCACTAAGAGATGGTGCTTCTGGGTCGTGTAGGGAACCGAGTCACATGACTACCAGGGGTATCAGTTCTGGGCTTCACTGACCAGGAAAGGGATGACTGCGATCTAGTCCTGGGGTTGTGGGCAGACATGGCAGGTCCTGGGCTCAAAGTACATGAACCAGAGACTGAAGGCTGCCTCTTCAAGGTTGTTGTCCCTGGTCCCAGTCCGTCATCCTCCCAGGACCTAGCCACCATGCTCATCCTAGGACTGAAGCTGAATTGCCACCAGGGACACTGCTGTTGAAGAGAGAGGAGCCAGAGGGCACTCAGAGTGAGCCCTCACCGTCTGCCAAACAGACCAAAAAAGCCAAGAAACGCAAGAGTCTTGGGGCTCCTGTGCTCCCGGCTGTGGCCAGCACAATGTGTGCACCCTCAGAGATGCTGGAGCGTGAGTAGCAATCCCTGGGCCTCCCCTTCTCCTCTATTAGCTGGATCTGACATGGCACCACTTGGCACTTCAGCCCCTGCTCTGTCCTGGGTCCTTGCAGGAAAGGCCCAGCGCCTGCGGCCACTGTACCAGTACATCAACTATTGCAACCCTGAGCTGAACCAGGCAGAGGAGGGGGACGGGGAGGTCAAGGTGGACCCTAAATTGGAGCTGCCCCTGGTTCCAGAGGAGGTGGGTGTGAAGCACCTTCCGGCCTTGCTGCCCATGGCAGTTGAGGTGGGTTCAGGCCTTGGTTTGCCTTGTCCTAGTGCATTAGTGCCACCCACCCCTGCTCTCGCTCCCCTCGGTGAGCAGGCTAGAATGGAGGCTGAGGGTTTGCCCATCTTGGGGGTGAGTGGCTGCTTCAAGGCCGAAGTAGACAAGTCAACACAGGTAGATATTGACAAGATGCTGAGTGTCTGTGCTGCTCCTCTTGTGCCCCCACTATCCCCCCAGTACAAGTAACTGTCACTCCCTGGAGGTTCCCCTCCTTCCAGACCTGAACCGAGCCTCAGTCTGTCAGTCTAGACCATCATGTGGAGAAGAGAATTCAGCCTCTCTCCCCACTTGCGAACATGGGCTTGCAGAAAATAAACATATTTTCTTTTTTAAGACTTTGTTTCCCCAATAGGATGCTTGAATTAGGAAAAAGGATGGGAAGAAGGATGAAAGTTTGAAACCTACCCAGTCATGTGGCTTGCCAGGGACCTTGAGAAACAGATCTGAGTTAGGAATGGAGGTAGGTTGCAGGGCCTGGTTCTATCAACTTAAGTCTTCACCAGGTGAATCTGAGTCAGTGAGGCTCGCCATGGGAGATAAAGAGGGAGGTGAGTAGGGAGGACTTGGGGCAGAAAAAAAAGAAAGGTCCTGGGAAACAGGTGTTTGGCCCTGCTCTTTGTCTTTCACAGAAGGGCTTGCATTAATCCTGACCTCAAGGGACTAACACTTGGGATCTCCTCTGCAGTAGCATAATTCAACTGTTCCAAGAGTGGCGGCTTTGGAATGTTTTTCATTCATTTCCACAGCACAGATGGACCAGACCTCGCCTATGGAGTAGGCCCTGGTGACAAGGCATTGGTGTCATTTCTGGCAGGCAGAGGGGTGGTGGTGGTGGCAGAGGTGAATATACTCCCTGAAGCTTGTGGGAAAAACATCGTCTGATGTCTCCCGCTGCTGCCTCCAGCTCTTGGGGTCTCTGGGCAGAGCAGGCCAGTGATGGCTGTGCAGCCGTGGCCTCCTTGTCATCATGTGTGTCTCTCAGACCCTTCAGATGTAGGCTATTCCAAATTAGATAAGAGACTTTCCCTCCCTTCAACCTGCTTTTCCTCCTGCATCTCATCTGCACAACTGAGCCAAAATCCTGGTGTCACTTCAGATCCTATCCTATTCTTTGCACCCTGATTCCTTACCAGCCAATTGGCTGTCAAGGCCAGAGAATCTGCCTGCTTGGACCCCATGGTCAGCCTCCTTCCTGACCTATGGCCTTCTCCAGGTAAGAACTGCACTGTCTTGACTATAGACTCTGGGCCCAGATCCATGCAGTGTCCCTGCCACACACACCTGTGCCTCTGATGGCATCACTGTCCCTTCTTAACACCTTGCTTCTCTTGCTCTAGCAGCCTCCCAACTTCTCAGTGGCTGCCTGACATTCCCCGACCAGCCACATCTTTTCTTACCTTCACTTTCTGCACATGGCTTTTTCTAAGATGCTTTTATCCCCTTCCCCTTTCCTGGTAGTGTGCACTTAATGTGGGAGAACTTGGGCGCCCTCTTCCTGCTGAGCCAGGCAGCAGCCAGTGCTGCCTGGCATTGTCCTGGGGTTATAACTGTCTTTGCAACTGTGAGCTCCCCAAGGGCAGGATTTGCTACATTGCACTCACCTAGCAGAGGCCTCCAATAAAAGGCAACAAGCCAAGGAGACCATGATGAGGGATGGAGTCTATGGAAAGGACAGATGAGAATCTGAACTGGCTGAAGCCATCTGGAACTCGATGAGCTGGGGGACCTGGAATAATGGCCTGGCATAATCATTGGAGGTATGGGGTGGCAGACCCAGGTGGAAGGAACATGGTGCTTTCCCTCCAGCTTTCCATAGCAAAGCCACAGGTAAGCTTTGGAGTCTCCCTCTTTCTTCCTAGATCTCCATGGGCAGTGATCCTACTACCCCAGGCAGTTAGTGCAGTTAGTGATTCTACTACTCCAGGTGCCCTGGAAACTAAGCATTTTCCAGAGAGACAAGCACAGACTTTTCAATGTGTTTCAAAGCTAAATAGTGGAGTTTCATTTCCTCATTTTGTGGCTAAGGAAACAGAGGCTTGTGGAAAAGCAACCTTACAAAGAGATCAGAGCAGAGCTCTCTGGCTAAGGGCTGACCGAAGAAGGCTGAATATCTGTTTTCTGGCTGGTGTCTGGGGCAATGTAGGCTATCATAGAGAAGGAAGTTCTGCTTTTCATCTCCTCACAGGTGAGGCAGGAAATAGTGTCCAGAAGAGGGCTGGCCTATGATTCCTGAGGCTTGTTAGCCATGGGCTTGTCCACACAGGAAGAAACAAGTCTCTGATGGTTCTGGAAGCTCACCATAGGGAAAATTCTGTGGCAGTATGATTCAAGTGGACATGTGGGACCACAAGCAGTGGGCTTACTGCCACTTTGCTTAGGGGACAAGAGATGATGAGGCAACCTTTCAACTATTCCTGGAGGACAGAACTACCTTCCAGGGTGAAGACAAACCAGGGATGACACCCTGCTGATGTGGAAGATACCAGTACTATGTTCAATGTGGCCAATGCAGACAGCATGGCCATCAGGAGTGCAGGCTGGGCAAGACTAGGGGTGAAGGCAGGGTCTGGGCTGGAAAATGTGAAAGGGCTGCATGGACAGAAGTGTGAATGGCAGAATGGGCGAAGAGACAGGATGGGAAGATGAAGCAGCAGCTGCCAGGTCTGGGTATAAGATACAGATCTTGTTGGAGGATGGTGGCTAAGAAATGGGTATTTTTGTTGTTTACTTTTTGTAGTGGTTCTGAGAATTGACTCCCAGGGAGTGCAGAGCTACATTTTTTATTGTATTATTTACATTTATTTATTTGTTAGTACAGAGACACAAACCTAAGACTGTGCACGTGCTAGGGATGTGCTCTACCACTGAGGTACATCCCCAATCCCCCCCCCTTATCCCTTTTTAAGACAGGATCTTAATAATTTAATATTATAATTTAATATTGCCCAGGCTGGCCTTGAACTTTCAAGCCTCTTGCCTCAGCCTCCCAGTACTACTAGTGTGGACCACCAGGCCTGAATTTCCCTGCAGTTTGTTTTTTTAGTGTACTGATGCTTGTGGCCATCATTGCACATTTTTGTTTATGTAAAACCTTGCCCCAACTAGGTGTTGTGGTGGTTGCCTGTAATCCCAACACTTAGGAGGCCCAGGCAGGAGGATCTCTGACTTCCAGACTAGCCTGGACTACATTATGAGTTTAAGGACAGCTTGTCTGAAAAAGTAAATAAAAAGTAAAAGTAAAGGCCTCCCTGACAAACCTGGGTCTTTCGTCTGAACCCCTTCACATACAGAGACAGACAGACAGACAAACACACACACACACACACACACACACACACACACACACACACACACAGTTGATGGAGTACAGACCTCAGCTGGAGTCTGGCCAGCTGGAGAAACTTTTTGGGAAGGGTTGAGATGGTGTGAGACAGGGTCTTACTATGTAGTTCAGGCTGATTTTACAGAAATGCCGGGGTTACAAGGGTATATCACCACACCCCACTGGAGAAACACTGGGAAAAGTCACTGTTTCTGTTGTCTTCTTTACTTCCTGGGAAAAGTGGAGTCACTTCTGGACAATATTAAAACAGTTTACTATCCTTTTTTTGTGGGGAACGAAAGACAGAGTCTCTCTCTTGCACGGTTCTACTGGGTTACACACCTAGCAAATTCCAGTGGACCAAACAGGTTCGCGTTGCGATTAAACCTGTATTACAGATGAGGAGCCTGAGACCTGGGAAAAATAACAGGCCTGATCAGAACATAACTCTTATCTGAATTAAAGGATTAACGCTGCCCCATTCTCACGTGCAGGGCTCAGGGGCCAAAGAATAACATGCTCGGGGCTGGGGATTTAGCTCAGCGGCATAAGCGCCTGTCTTGCAAGCAGGCAGTCGTGAGTTCGATCCCCGGTACCGATAAAAAGGAAAAAGACAAAAAAAAAAAAAAAAAAAAAAAAAAAAACCCAAAAACATGCTTCAGCTTCCCCAGACCCAGCATAAGCGCTGAGCCAGTGAACTCCACGCTTCTGGCTGCCGCTGCCACCAAAGGAAAGTCGGAGCTCTCAGGAAAGGGCAGGTGAAAAAACCTCAGGTGAGGAAACCTGAAGATGGCAACTGCAATTACAGATCACCTTCTACGTGCCACACATTCATAGCTTTCTCTCTCTTAATTCCCGCCACAACGTCAATCAGCGCTGAGCAGAGGTTCTGAGAAACTGGGAAGTCATCCGAGATCCGCAGGGAACAGAAGGAAGAGCTCAAATTCGAAGCCTAGCCTGTCAGCTCCAGGACCCGTGCCCTGGCTTCTGGGGCAGGGGACACCCGCAGTACCAAAAGATCGAAGCCAGCCAACTATTCCGGAAGGAGACAGGCCAGCAGGGGGAGAAACTCACCTCAGTGTGAGCACGCAGCACAGACGGACTCAAGACCTACAGTGCACCCCCCGAAATGGGTTTTTTGGAACTTCTCTTCTGGTTGCTATTTCAGAGGGGAAAGTGAATTGCATTTTTATTGGCCAGGAAAAATTACTTTGACCTGAAGAAGTGCAGTTAGCATCCTGAGATTTGATGTTGGGAGATGCTGCCTTCCTCCAAAAGGGGGCGCTGCAGGACAAGCCAGGAACCAGTTTTGGACTTCGGTTGCCACAGGTTCCCCCAGTCCTAAGCGTTTCAAGGCCCAACTGTCCTCCCCATCCCCTAAGTGGGACCAGTAGGCTCTGACCCTGAGATGCTGACTAGTGAAGCTCTCAGGGAGGTGTAGAAGATGAATCTAGGCTCTAGGAGGTGCCCTCAGGGGACCCAGGTTCATAAATGTACATCTGTACTAGGCTCACTGCATTGTGCCCCAGCACTTGAAGAATCAGTCTGTGAACAGCAGAATCCTCCAAAATCTAATCATAGCCGCTCTGATCAGCAACACTGCCCTTTCTTAAGTAGGTCCATCTTGGGGTTTTTTGGCCAACTCCCAAATTTAGGAGGCTTTGGCATCCTAGTTTGATCTGAAATTGAGGCAGGTACAACAGGTAGCCTTTCCCTTAACTGCCAAATTCCAGCTGAGAATGGGCGCTCCTGCAGTTTTCACAGTTCAGGCAAAGCGAATCCCTGCTGCAGGAGGGGCAGTGCCTGGGCGACTTGCCAGTGCTGGGATGAAGTAGAGCTGTTGGTCAGATGCTTTAGTCACATGGTCCTTACCAGGCTCCTGGATCCCATCACTTACAACCCATAGGAGGCGAGTAACTTTGCCCCCATGCCTGTTTTTGGATCTGAATAACGAGCTTATTAATAGTACCTTACTAGAATGACTTGGAGCTTAAAGCGCTTACCTAGGGACCCAGAATGCTGTAAGGACACTCCAACAGTGACCCTTATTTCATCTTCACATGGCCAAGGCATGAAAACAAGACAGTGTAGGAAAACAGGCCTGGTAACTTCTCCAAGGGCTGCGGAAGCTCCCCCTGGGCTTTTCTGGCCAGGGTCTCACAGGAAGTGGGAGAGAGGCTGGAAAAAGGAACAGAATTTGGGGCTGGGGATTTAGCTTAGCGGCATAAGCGCCTGCCTTGTAAGCACCTTGTAAGCAGGCAGTCGTGAGTTTGATCCCTGGTACCGATAAAAAGGAAAAAGACAAAAAAAAAAAAAAAAAAAAAAAAGGAACAGAATTTGTCTAGGCTTCACAATCCAGCAAAGGAAACAAAGAGTCAGATGAGTCCTTTCTGAACACGCCACCCACCTGGCTGAGGTAGCTCATAGGCTTTCCCTGTATGCCTGGGTCAGGTGTTGCCAGGCAAACTTGTGCCATGGGGCAATAAATCCTTAGTCCTCAAACTCATCCCCTTTGGAGGGCCCTTCTGGAGCAACACCATGTTTTCAAGAACAGAACCTTGTTGACCACCAGCTCAGGAGGCCCTAGGTTCTCATTTACCTGCCTGAAATGGCAGGCCCAACAGCAACCCTCCTACCAACTCCCCCCTATAAGAAATCCCATGGCAGGCCCAACAGCAACCCCCACCGAACCCCATGTCTTATCCTCAAGGAAACATTTCTTTGGAGGACTCCTCAGAGTTGGCCATGAGGGAACAAGCCAGAGATGAGGGGCAGCATCGGATCCACCATAGGATGAGGGGTGCTGTGCTGTTGTGAGGAAAGATAAAAACTATTACAGCAATAAATAAGCCCACTACTATTAAAACCCAATCACCAAGCAAAAAAACACACATTAAGACATCATATTTTCTGATTTATAGTAACATTTATCAGATGTTCCATGGCTCCCCTTATCTCCTCTCTGCTAAGTCAGAGGCCCTCTGCCCTAAGTCAATAGCCCAAAAGCTCACTGGATACAGAAACGCCTCCTCCCTGCAGGTTGGTCTGGTACAGTCAGGTGGGAGGGCAGGTAAGGATCCCTGAGGGATGACGTGGCCTCACCATTCCTGAGATGCCCCAGTCCCCAAGCAAGAAATGGGTTTCTTTGTCCTTTCTCCTCAGACCTCAGTCAGGTGGCTCTGTGCTGGGCTTTTTCTTTCCAGCAGACTACACATCAGGCTTGAGAGCCCAAATTGGACTTATACTGGTACTGCTCACTAGCAAAGCCATGAAGAGGCCTGGTGGCAGATCTGCCCTACACACAGTGCTAGTGTAAGCTGTGGTAGTAGGCATGTCGCCATCCTGCAAGTCTGAAGACTACATGAGCAGATGGGAGACTTCCCTGGGTCACCTTCAGACTTCTCTCTGCCCCAGTCCAAGCTGATTTACTAATGAATGACACTGTCTCTGCTATGGCCTGCTGCACCTCCTTCACTGCTCCCTCCCTAACCCCTGTGCCCTGTGGCAGAAGCCCAACTGCAGGCTCAGAGGTTATTCCGCTGAAGTGCCTCACACAGGTTCTGGTTGGCATCAGGCTCCTCCGTTAGAACCTCCACAGTCTCCCATTCCCCAGATCGGCTCGACCTTTTGATAGCGTCCACCACACTCTGCATGTAGAGCCCATCCTCGAATGAGGCAGCCATAGAAACAGGGGTGCGGTCCCAGGTGCGGCGGTCCCCTTGCCCCTGGAAGGACTGGCGCAAGGCCTGCACCATGTAGACCATGCCTTTCAGATAGAGCAGTGGGACATCCTGGGGCCCCTGTTCAGGCAGACCTGCACCCACGGCCAGTGAGTCCCTCACTAGCAGCTCCTCTTGTGTGGCAGAGTTCTTCTGCCCATAGAGGTCAGCTCCCCGGGCAACAAGACGGCCCGCAGAGCCCACCACCATAACTTCATGCACAAAGGCGCCTGGCATGTTAAAGTTAAGTGTCACTGTGCTGCATACTCCGCCCCCCATGAGCATTTGGAAGAAACAGAAGTCATCACTGGTGACATGCCGGATGCCACGGATGGCAGCGTTCTGCCTCACGAAGGTCTTGAGTAACCCATGCACCTTCTCAGCCTTCCGGCCTGTCAGGTGGGTCAGCAGGTCCACAATGTAGGTGCCCATGGTGTGCAGACCGCCACCACCCATAAGCTCATCACAGATCCAGCCATAGCTGGGGCTGAGCAGACTGCCTGAGTAGATGCGGGCATCACAGATCATCACTGCGCCAACATAATGCTCTGCAATCAGCTGCTTCATGCGCACAAAAGCAGGCAGGAAACGAAGCACATTCCCCACCAGGCTCATCAACTGCGGGTAGTAGCGTGAGGCCGTCACCATCCGGAAAGCATCCACAGACGTTGCTGCCTTCTCGCAAACCACATTCTTCCCAATACCTACAAGTAAGACACAAGGGAAATTGCAAAGTTCCAAGGAGCTTACACAGAATTTTTTTTTTTTTTTTGAGGACGGGGACTGAACCCAGGACCTTCACATTGAACTACATCCCCAGTCCTTTTGAAAAGTTTTAAATTTTAGGATAGGGTCTTGCTGAATTGCTCATTTAGGAAGGGACTTATAATCTTCCTGCCCAGCCTTCCAGAGTGCTGGGGTTACAGTCATGCTAAGTGGGAAAAATCTTATTTCTCCAAGCATATGGATTCAGGAAAGCCTCCTTAGCTTAGTCCCAGTGACTAGACTGCACAAAGTTATGGATTGGATAAAGAGGAGTAGGACTTCCCCTCAAACCCCACCCCAGCCCAGTACCTGGGATGGAACTGAAGGCCTCTGCATTGACACAAATTTTCAGACCTTTATTTTTATTTTGAGACAGGGTCCTGCTAGAGTGCCTACGCTGGCCTTGAACTTGTGATCCTGCCTCAGCCTCTAGAGAGTATGGTGCCAGGGTTTCAGAGGAGTACTTATTCTTTTCTTTTCTATGACAGTGTCTTACTATGTACTCCAGTACTCCAGACTGGCCTCGAACTCACTAGATTCTGTCTCAGACTCCGAAGTGCTGGAGAGAGCTAGGTACTTTAGGGATGCATATAGAGCTAAGACAGAAAATCACAGCCCAGGGCTGGGAACAATATAGGGAGTGACTACACAGGGCCATCAAACAGCAGTCTAGATTTTGCTATGAAGTGTTTGTCTATCTATCTATCTATCTATCTATCTATCCATCCATCCATCCATCCTGCCCTCCCTTTGTTTTCTCTCTTTTCCTTTCCTTTCCTTTCCCTCCCTCTCTCCCTTTTTCTTCTCTCTCCTTCCTTCCTTCCTTCCAGGGTCTCATTATGTACTTCAGGCGGCCTTAAAATTCAGTGGTCCTCTTACTCCAGCCTCCCAAGTATTGGGATAATAGGTGTGTACCACTACACCTGGCTGGAGTGTTTCTTAAATTGTGATTAACATTAAATCAAGTAAGTTGAGTCAGGCATGGTGGTGCATGTATGTAATCCCAACACTTTGAGAGACTGAGGCAGAATAATTACCATGAGTTTAAGGTCAGCCTGAATTACACAGCAGAGATCCTGACTCAAGAAGAAGGAAGGAAGCAAGGAAGAGGAGGAGGAGGAGGAGAAAGAGGAGGAAGAGGAGGAGGAGGAGAGTAAACCAGATTACATAACCAATTGAAAGCCTTAAAAGCAGGCCCTCTTATAAGGTGGAAATGTAGTCTCTAGAATGCCACCAGGACAAGTCTGCAACACAGATTATTGGCAAAATTTCCAGCATGCTCACCTGTCTTGTATATATTAGACTTCTCCGCCCTAATAACTACATGAGCCACTTTCTCTTTTTTGGCAGTACTGGGGATCCAACTCGACCTCCAGCTTGCCAAGCAGGCACTTATGCCACTGAGCTAAATTCCCATCCCATGAGCCACTTTCTTAAATGTCTCTTTCCATATCCTTTGGTTCTGTTTCTCTGAAAAACCCTGAGTAATACAGGTAAGCTGGAGAGGCAGATATGCATCGTGGACTGCTCTACATCTCTACTGCTACTTATGAGCTCATCAGCCTGGGCTAAGATCATCAATCTATATTGTAGGAAATGGGCCTGGCCCTTAGTTCTAACTCCAGACAGGTCACTAAACCTATTGTAAGTTGTTCTCTGAAGACACTGGCCCAATAAGTTCAAGTGGTCAGAAGGCCAGAAACTGCTTGTCTTTACAGCTGAGTGTAGTAGTGTATGCCTATAATCCCAGAATTCTGGAGGTTGAAGCAGAAGAATAGCAAATTGGAGCCTAGCCTAGGTAATTTTGCAAGGCCCTACTTCAAAATAAAAAAAGGATTGGATAACTCAGTGTAGTGGCATATGCCTCTAACCCCAGCACTCTGGGAGACTGAGGCAGGACTGCAAATTCAAGCCCATCCTAGGCAATTTAGTCAGGGAGGAGGGGGGAATGTAGCTCAGTGTGAAGGTCCTTTCAACTCCCAGGGTCAAACAAAACAAAACAAAACAAAACAAAATCCTGCTTGCTTTCAGCAAGAAGGCAAAGAAGTGAATACAGTTTTTTCTGGGTCTGCTGCATCTGGAATGTACAAGAGCAAAACAAGGTAGACAAAGCCTAGGAAAGCAAGCAAGCCAGAGGCTGTAGTTTCCCTACAAGCAAATGGACAGGCTTGGTCCTCTTCCCAGTTTCAATGTGGAAGTGCACAAAGCTACATGCAGCTGTAAGACACTACCACCTGGGTTGTTTCTGAGTTTAGAATGGCTCAAATTGAAGGAAATCTTATACTCAGCCCAGGAAGCAGGATGTTCACAAGTCATAGTGAACTGGGGAAAGTGAAAATGCCACAGTATTGCACTTCTCATCTACAGACACTGCTTATGGTGCACCATTCAAAACCCACTTCTCAATTATCTCTGGAAGTCATGGGTTTCTTCAGCTTAAAGGTTAGCGGGAGCACAGAACAATTCTTCATGCAGACGGCAGGATCCAGGAAGGCTTCATGGGATGACACTGGAGTCATCTTAAGGGAGCAGGCATTCCAGGAAGCAAATGGCATCCAGAGAGGACAAAGTCACAGTGGCAAGAAATGTTCCAAAGTCTTAGGTACATGCCAGAAAACAGGACCACTGCGATTACACAGAGCCTATAAGTGATGTGAGAACTTGGATAGGTGGTCAAGAGTATCACTCCAGTCTTTCAGGCCAGAGGATGTGACCTCGGGCTCTTGATATTTCCCCACTTTTTCAGGGTGTCCTCATCTGTTTCTTCAGCCAAAATCACTCAAATCCTACTTTCTTGTTTTTTTGTTTTTTGTTTTTCGAGACAGAGTCCCACTGTGTAGTTCAGGGTGGCCTTAAACTCACTATGTGGCCCAAGCTGGCCTCAAATGCATGGTTATCCTCCTGCCTCAGCCTCTTAAGTGCTGGGATTATTGGTGTACACCACTGTGCCCAGCCTCCTGATTCTTAATTTAAATCATGAATGTACTCCAAAGGTCTGTGCTGCCTTCTAGGGCTCCAGCCCTTGACAAAAGTGGGAGGTGGCAGGTCCTTTTGGACATAGGGTCTAGTGGATGGAAGTTAGACACTGGGAATGCGATTTGAATAGGGTATTGGGATCTGGCCTAGTCTCTCTTTCAGCTGCCACAGGGTGAGCAGTTTTGTTCTACCATGTGCTCCCTATCTTGATGTTGTGCCTCACACAGGCCCAAAAGCAACAGAGCCAACCAACAATGGAATGAAACCTCTGAGACTGTCAAGCCAAAATAAGCTTTTACTCTTTTTAAGTTGTTTAACTCGGGTATTTATTGTAGCAATGGAAAGCTGACACAAAACCTAGATCAGCTGGATCAGATCACTCACGTAAGTATTCCTTTACCTAAATCCTCCCAATGTCTTATCTCATTTAGAATAAAAGCCCAAATCTTAACAGTGATCTACTCGTAAGACCTTGATCTATTATTGGGTGACTCCTCTAAAATTTGCTTTTTCCCCATCCCTCACCTGCTCATTATGGTCTAGACACCGAAGTAGATGAGAGCTCATGAGCAAGAGGGCCTCATGACTGGGGAGAGGTGGTGACCCCAACACTGGAGGATGGACAGACAAGGTTGGGGATCTTCAGGGACAGCACAGGCTTGCTCTGGCCCAAGTTCTGCTTACTGTTCTGGCTGAAGACCATCTTGAACAATGTGTGTACCTAGGCTTCTCCCCGGTGCTATCCAGGCTCCCTTCCTGCATTCCATAGGCAATTCCTGATTAGAGAGCAGTTCTAAGACTCAGGGGCCGCCAAGCCCAGACTATGCCTTTTCTAGCTGTGCATCTCTAATAACCTCTGCTCTGCAGCAGCTGGGACAGAAGATTATTTTGGATGATTCACTGTAGGTGCATCTTGCACAGATGGACCCAGATGGATTCTGTTCTCACAGGCTCAGCAAGGAAACTCATCTGACCATCTTGCAGCAGAAATAATGGTTGCCAAGAACTATAAATCTTGCTGTAAAAAAGAAGAAACTCTATAAAATTTTATGCCTCACATGATGGCTAGGCCCAGGACAGCTGACCATCCCACCAATTATAAGTGCTTAACTTTAGTGCTGAAGCCAGAAATTTCTGTGGCCAAAACTTCTCATTTCTGGAAATGTAAGTTAAGTATTTTCTTTCTTGTGCTATTGGGGGTTGAGCCTAGGATCTTCACACTAAGCTACAACTCCAGCCTTTGACTTCTTATTTTAAGGCAGGAATAGGATCTTACTAAATTGCCTAGGTTAGGGTCAAACTTGTGATCTTCTTGTCTCAGAATGCTGGGATTTTAGGTGTGCTCTGCTGCATCCAGTCTCATTTTTTTTTCCAGCCTAAATTTTTTGTTTAGGATGGGTTCAAACTCAACAATATTTCTGCCTCAACCTCCCTCAGTGCTGGAAATACAGGTGAGTGGCACCATACCTGACTGATCAAAACATATACGTGTATGAAAATATCACACTGAAACTTAATAGTTTTGTAAAATAAATAGGCACTAATAATAAAAAATAAAAAGAGGAGCCAGGTATGGTGGCGCATACCTGTAATCCCAGCACTTGAGAGGCTGAGGCAAGAAGATCGATGCAAATTTGCGACCAGTTTGGGCTACAAAGTGAGCTCAAGGCCAGCCTGAATTGCATAGTGAGATCCTAACTCAAAATGACATAAAAATGAATAATAAAATAAAATGAAGGGCTGGGGATGTTGTTCAGTACAAAGGCCCTAGGTTCAATCCTCAGTACTAAAACAAAGACATAAATAAAAAAAAACTTACTTTATTGTTAAAGGATCTGATATTTTTCTCAACCTCTTTTGGTTTTCATTTATTACTGTAAAATGAATTGTATCTAGTTTGCAGGGAAGAAAAGATGACTGAGTCAACTGAAGTAGTGTACATAAAGTGCCTGGTGTAGCACCG